AAACCACATCCAAATCAATCTCTGACTCTCGATAGAAAAGTTCTCCTTATTTGTAGAAGCTACATATAGATCTTAAAAATAGCAAATACACAATACTGATAAAAAGAAAAATGCATTAAACATATACAAGTGCAGTGCATGATATATGAATGTATGAATGAAAGAATATAATAGATTAGGATTCAAAAACTACCTGATTTTTTGGTGGGCTTCATTAAGTCCAGTCCTTTTGAGTTGGTGTCTCCAGCAACAAATCCGGACGAATTATCCATATTCCTCTTCTCTACCAAAGGAATTTAAAGAAAATCTGAGAAGTATATTATGATAGATCCTTAAAAAAGTCAAAAACTTAATAAAATTAATATACCATCCCCTTTGGTCGAAATCCTTTCCGAATTCATATTGTTTGAATCACTTTTCTCCTTGTTTCACAAATACTCCTACCTGAATCTTGCGTAGAAATTTTAAGACATCACAAATGTCCTGAAACTTATTAAAATGATTATCGTCCCTTGCACTATAACACAACATAATATATCAGCACAAACAAGCTACAATTGAGTCAAATTTGGTAAAATTTAGCAAGACTAAGCCTAACCTCACATCATTGGCCTAGTTCCACAAACACCAACCAGACAGCAAATTCCATCAAAGGCCATCCAAACCTCACGTGGCCGGCAAGTTAAAGGGATGAAGAAAGAAAATGATAAAATAAAATACCATAATTTAGTTAATGCTATCACCTACTTCACACTTGGATATGAAGAAGATAAAGCTAGTCATAAAATATACATCAACACTAGCAACACATAATAAAACCATAACATCTACACACATTGCAATTGAGTCAAAACATATTTATTAAATATGAATATAATGGCCAGCTAAACTCAAATGGGCACTAGAAACAACATTCTCAGATACATACATTAAGTTAACAACAATATTAATTAAATTTAATATATACCGCAATGAACAACAAACAAATCATATCATACATAAACAAAACACTCAAGCACAAGAAATGCAAAACATACCACAAGGACACCATACCATACATAACACAAGCACAAACAATGCAATTTTACAAACACAAACAACATGGTGCGAGCAACACAAAAGACACCAAAATATTACAATACCATACATAAACACAACACATAAGCACAACCAATCCAACGTAACCATACCAACAACCAGCAAAAGCAACACTAATTGACACCACAAGCGCATCATATCATTCATAAACACAACACACAAGCACAAACAAAGTAGCAAAAAATTACAAATCGGCATTTGTAGCAGAAAGATATACCATAAGTATGCTCTACCATATATAAACACAGCATACAAGTACAAACAACACCAAAAGACACCACAAAAATGTCATACCATATATAAACACAAGCACAAACAACACAACACAACACCATAAACATAGTATGTTTAACCCAACTACACAATTCAGCTCAACATTACTAAGCACAGACACAACTTGGCACATGCAACCCAACACAACAATACAAACAGCCAGCAAAAGCAACACAAAAAGACACCACAAGCACACCTTATATATATATATATATACACACAATAAACACAACACACAAGCATAAAAAGACACCACAAACACATCATACCATACATAAACACAACACACAAGCAAAAACAAAGTAGCATAACAATAAAAACAACACATGTAGCAAGAAAATGATACAAGAAGCACGCTATACCATATACAAACACAACACACACAACAACAAATAATACAACACCACAATACAAGCAGCACAAAAAGACACCACAAACATGTCATACCATATATAAACACAAACAACACAACACAACACCATAAGCATAGTAGGTTTAGCCCAACCACACACCACCAACACAATTTGGAACATGTAACCCACCATAAAAATACCAGCCAATCAATACAAGCAAAGACACTACAAACACACCATATATTAATAAACACAACACAAGCATAAAAAGACACCATAAGCACATCACATCATACATAAACACAACACATAAGCACAAACAAAGTAGCATAACAATACAAACAACCAACACATGTAGCACAAAAAGATACAAGAAACACGCTATAACATAAATATATAAACACACCACACAAACACAAACAACAAAAATACAAGCAGCACAAAAAGATACCACAAGCACTTCATACCATATATAAACACAAGAACAAACAACACATCAAAACAATACTACACAATAGATAAAGGAAGATTACTTTAAAATATAAGTGATATAATTTTTGAAAAGATAAAGGGAAGATTACTTTAAAATTTTATAGAAAGAACGATATGAAGAATTTGAAACTCACATAAAAATAGATACCATAACCCAAAAGCTTCATTTCAATGGTGAGAAGCTCCATCAAGCATTCTTCCTTTCTCTCAGTTCTATCTTATCCAGTCACATTGGATTCATCATTTCTTCCAATATCAAGAAAGAGAAACATGAGATACAATATTTAAGAATCAAAAAGTTGGTTGGACGTGTCCTGCCATAGAGAACTAATCCACAAAGCATAGCCATCAACACAACATATTACATAAAAATTTTAAATCAAACAAGACTACTTGGATATGAAGAAGATAAAGTTGTTCAGAATATATACATCAACACCGGCAATACATAATAAAAGCATAGCACATCACTATAGGTATTTGTTCAAAAAAAAGTAATATTATTTGTGAATAGATATTAACTATTATAAGATTTTGAATAAAGAGAAAATGAGTCACTTATTTTGTTTAAAAAAGAGAACATGAGATATAATATTTTTAAAAATATTAAAGGAATGAATTAATTGAAACTTTGTGAAAAAAAAGTCGGTCGGATTCTCCATCCCTGTTAAGATATTGCAAGCAAGAGTGGCAGGAAGAGACTAAGAAATGGCCAAATTTTTTGAACAAATAAATCTATGGTCCGGAAATCTGCTCCCACTTCCAAAAATGATTTGTGGAAATTGACTATCTAGTTAATTTTAGGGGTTTCAAAAATGTTTTAGAAAGAGTTAAATCATAAAACATATTTAAATGAATTTTTCATGCATAAATTTAGGCAAAAGATTATATCTAAAATGGCAACCTGATAACACAATGAACTACACATGAAAATGCATAAATTAAAACATTTGGAATAAGGTGAAATATAAAAAATTTAAGAAGTAGCCAAAAATTTTCCCTTTTACTATAACGAATGATTTTGGAATCACCCAAACCACCATCCCTAATAGTTTTAGAGTGAACTCTCACAAAGGGAAAAAAAAAACAACAATTAAAAGAAAATTTGAAAAAGCATATTTAAGGTTTAGTCTTCACCTTCAATTTTAGGAAATGGTACATAGAATCATCTAACTCACCGTCACAAGGAGAACAAAACCAAACCTCAATTATTCGGCTATATAGCAAGCAAGAGTAACAAATATAAGAAAAAAATAACCAAAAATAAATTGAAAAAACAATATCTTGAGATTTCCCTTTCCACTTTAAGAAATAGTTTATGAAATAACCCAATTCACTATCACCGTTAGTATTAAGGGAAACTTCAAAACCTCAATTGTTTTGTAATAAGAAATCAGTTAGTAAAAAATATGGCCAATATTTTTTTAATAACCACGAAGAATTTGAAAAAGCAATATTGAAGCTTTAAATTTCCCTTTTCACTTTAAGAAATAGTTTATGAAATCACCCAATTCAACATCACCATCAGTATTAAGGAAATTTTAAAACCTTTATTGTTTTATAATAGTTGGCAGGCAAGACTAACGAGGAAAAAAAATGGCCAATATTTAATAATAATCAAAAAGAATTTGAAAAGGCAATATTGAAGTTTTAGATTTCCCTTTTCACGTTAAGAAATAGTTTATGGAATCAACCAATTCACTATCACCGTCAGTATTAAGGAAAATTTAAAACCTTAATTGTTTTGCAATAGTAAACAGGAAAGACTAACGAGGAAAAAATATGGCCAATATTTTTTTAATAATCAAAAAGAATTTGAAAATGCAGTATTGAAACTTTAGATTTCCTTTTTCACTTTAAAAATAGTTTATGAAATCACCCAATTCACTATCACCGTCAGTATTAAGGAAAATTTTAAAACCTCAATTGTTTTGTAATAGTAAACATGCAAGACTAACAAGGAAAAAAGATTGACCAATATTTTTTTAATAATAATAAAGAATTTGAAAAGGCAATATTAAAGCTTTAGATTTTAAAACCTCAATTGTTTTAAAAAAATATGGCCAATATTTTTTAATAATCAAAACAATTTTGAAAAAACAATATTGAAGCTTTAGATTTCCCTTTTTACTTTTAAAAAATAGTTTATCGAAGTACCCAATTCACCATTGCCGTCAGTATTAGGGAAACTTCAAACCTCAACTGCTTTGTAATAGCAAACATGCTCAACTAAATAGGAAAAAGAATGACCAATATATATATATATATTTTAATGCACATTTAAGATTTAGATTTCTATTCCCACCTTTAAGGTTTGTTGAATCACTTAATTCACCAATTTCACCAATTTCCAAAATTGCTTTGAAAAGAGTTAACTAAATTTTTAAGGAATTTCAACGAAGGCTTTAACGCGTTATGCATAGATTTAGGAAAAATAGTAAAAAGAAAAATGATAATCCAATAAAATAAATGGAGAAATGCATAAAGAAACGGTAAAACAATCAAGAAACCATCATTTAAAAAGAGAAGATGAGATAATATGGAAATTTCTTGTAAAAAATTAAAAGTTCCGAGAGATTTTGGATTTAAACAAACATAATGTTCAATTTTATTTACAAAAATCTATGATATTTATAAAGTTTAGCAAAAGTTTTTTTAAAGATCCATCTTAGCATCCGTGCATCTTCCCACCATTTTGCTCAAAGCTTCCTGAATTACTGTAAGCTCCTAACCAAAAGTAAGTACACAAAAAATAAATGATATAAAAGATGATGTTTAACATACCGAATTAATTCAACCTTGTACAGCCCCATTCCAAATCACTTCTTGAAATTGAAATATCTAAAAATTTCAAGAACCACCCGTTAGCTTGAAATTGAAATATCCAAATTTAACCTAATCCCACCAAACCCTAACCCTCCAAGAAAGCTCCGTTTATCCAATTTGAAAGATTGAGAATGTAAACACAATCAAAATTACTTAAAGCCTTGAAATATTGAAATTGGGAGACACAAAAACATCTCACACTTCTTCTCAATTGAATGAAAGAGGGTGTTCAAATCAATTGTTTAGATCCACAGATAAACATACTTTCATGTTATTGAGTCGGGCACTGCGTGTTTCCATTTTAACCTGCAAAGGAACATTTTCGGCTACTGACACAAGAATTGCAGGCACTTAACAAGACAAAAACAGAGTGCTACTGCAGAGTATATACAAGAAAATACCTCTGCAGCAACCATTTTGTACCCAATGTCAGAGTGGATCATATATGCTTAATCAATGGCAGTTGCACCCTCGGGAAGATTTTTACTCTGTAGAGAAGGCTAAATATTAAGAAACAAAAGTAATAGATTTCAAACTCAGAATAACATAGTTACCAGAATCATGCCTCTCCTTTTGGTGTAAATACAAAGACACGGCTGCCAAGAAGATCCCTGGTGATTGTATGAAAAGGGCGAACAGCTCGAGGAATGGGAGTCCAAATTCGATGCACCAGTCCAAGCACATGGTAACATATTCAACTCAATCGATTAGTTTGAAGAAATCGCAAATCAGAATCGAATCTTGGATTCAACTAAAACATACCGATTGAAATGGCCGCCGCAACGTCGCCGTTCATCCCGCCATTGCACCGGAGGCGAAAGAAACCCTTACCTGATGGAAATGGAAATACAAGGCTTCCGAGAGCACCGAACTTCTGGAACTTTCTTTTATGTAGACCACATTCGCCAGAGCAGACTATATATACATACAAATAAATAATTAATAATAATAATAATTAATTTTATATCTTGCGGCCGTTAGAAGAAGATTTTAAGGCGTGTTGATCAAAATTTATCGTATATATAATTAATTAATTTTGAATTTTAAGGCATGTTAATCAAAATTTACCATATATATATATAATTATCTTAATTATCAACTAGCCGTTACAATCAAAGTAAGCAAATGAGTTAGACGCCAACCCCATAACCAATTAATATCTATTAGCTACCCTTAATTATTTTCTTAAAATACTTTTTTTTAAAAACAAAAAAAAAAAAACTCAATTGAAAACACACAGCAGACAAATAACACGAGAAAAGAAACAAAACTTTTTTCATATATTGTATAAATATCAAATTTTTAATTATAAAATATTTTACCATATCTTTTTAAATATTATATATTATATATTATTTTAAAATAGTAAAACATAACCAAACAAGTTTGATGTGAGGAAGTGTCATTCTTTTGATTGAGTTTGAAAAAAATTGATTTGAATTCGATATTAAAATAATATTTGATGAGATATTTTACGAGAGAAAAAAGTTTTTTTTTTTTTTTTTTTTTTTTTCTTTCGTGTAACACATAGTAAAATTAGATAAATTTTGATTAAAGAAACACACGCTTAATAAGTTTAAGACTACATTTTATTTGATTTTTTTTTATTTATTATACATTTTATTTCAATTTGTTATTATTTAACTACCATATGCTAAATTACATTTAGGATTGCTTTGAGATTTAAAAATAATATTTTATTTTTATTTTATAAAAATATATATTTATAAAAAATATGTATGTAAATAATATTTTCAAACTAAAATCACAATCAAATAAATACTTTAAATGAGACTTATTCTAAACTCTTATGTTTAGATTTTTTTGTACTTATAAAAGAATTTTAGGTATGAGTCAAATCTTATAGCTTATGTTGTTTGTTTCTTCCATTCGCTAGAGTTCTGAAGGTTTATTTCGTTGTGGTTTGAAATTAATTTGAAATAAAATATTAATTTAAATTGTATTTTGATGTGACGTTTATAAGAGGATATTGTAAATTTACATCTCGAATGTTGAGCTTTATCCAACAATACCTCGGAGATTCGAGAAACCAATTGACGACAAATGGCCTCGACAATTCATAAATCAGCCAAGCGACAAAGACCCACAATCAACAACGAACATCTACGGAATTCTCTCAATCTCCGACGGAAGATTCCTCCGGCAATTGCTCTAGGCGCCGGACGGCGGCAGCAGCTTACAGCAATAGCTCCGATGGACATCAAATTCCGGCTGATCGACGGCGTCACAGATTGATTTTGAGCGACAGACCCAGCAGATGGCTCATCCGGCGAAGATTCCTTCTCCAACGAACTCAAACAGCGGCACTTCACTCCGATCGACTCCTAACTGCTTCAATCTTTCTCCGACAAGAAGGATATCGATTTTCGACTCAGCCTAGTGTTGAATAGTTCACGGTAACCACTATTCGAAGTGAAAGTTGGCACGTCACTCTAAACCTTGATATCTACTAAATTTTGACTCACACACACACAAAAAAAATAAAAAGTTATGAATCCTCACCCGAGAACTCTCGAAACTCACCGGAATCACTTCCCAAAAAACCTAATGAACCTAATGGGTGTGTTTGTTTTGGAGATTTTTCCCAAATTTTACTATTCATTTAATTTTTTTCCTCCAAAAACATTAAATCAAATACCTATTTTTTATTTTTTATATTATATTAAAAACCAATTTTACATCAACGCCTATTTATATCACATCATACAACTATTCACGTTCAAAAATTTTACTATTCAAATTTCAATCCAAAATCCAAACCCTCAAACAAATACACCCTCCTCGCCGGAATCATGTTCTTTGTTTCATGTTTTCTTATGTTTACATAAGCAAAATCAGATCATAATTCAAACAATAGAAATTCATACTAAAAATATTTTTAGAATGTGTTTCTTTTGCTAAATTATTTTCAAATTTTATCTGCATTTTTTGAAAAAAAAAATTATATATATATATCTCACACAAAATATCTAATTAAATAATTTTATTTTAATATTAAATTTAAACTAATTTTCTCGAAATTTACTCAAAAAAAATCATGTTCTTTGTTTTATCTTATATTTACATAGACAAAATCATATCTTAATTCAAACAACTATTTAAAATACACTTTTTTTAAAAAATTTTTCCAAAACATCCAATTAAACATTATTTAAACTCAAACTAATTTTTCTCAAACCTATCCAAAAAAATACACTTTTATCTCACTTTAAGTTTATTTGATTTATATTTTTGTTTAAATAATTTTTTTCCTAAAACATGAAATCAAATACCTATTTTTTATTTATTATATTACACTAAAATTAAATTTACATTCAAAACACCAAATCAATATATATTTATACCACATCAAACAACTATTTCAATTCAAAATCAAAACTCAAAATCAAAATCTTACTAGTACATTACATATATTATATATGAAAAATTAACATATTTTATTGAGAATTATATACTATAATTTTTTAAATAATAATAAAAAAATAAATAAAAATCAAACACAACCCTACAGGCTTTCTCAATTTTTTTGTTCTCCCCTAATTATTTATGCGTACAAACTCAAGTGTCATCAAATTATTACTCCTTCCGTCCCACCTATCATGTCCATATTGCCGTTTCTGCCCGCCCTACATCTTATGTCACTTTCAATTTTTGGAAAATGATTTAAGCATTTAATTTCATTTTAAATTTTCTAATTTAAATTTTTTTTAATGTTAATTAAACTAATTAGTTATTTTAATATTAATTTATAGTAATTTATATTATATAAATTAATTATTTTTAGTTATACATTTTTAATTATCTAATAATTATATTTATTTTAAATTATCGTGTCTACGGTAACTAAGACACCCAATGTGAGACGTGGGACGAAGGGAATATATTATTATTACAAAATTGGAAATACTTTTTATAAATGTAACAATGGCAAAAACTCTAGAAAGTTCTAAAGAAAGAAGTTATAATATATAATTGAATCCTTCAAAATCACAAGACACATGAGCCCATGTGATAGACAAATTTAAAAAAGAATTTTCAGTTTTAAAATTTTCAGAATTCAAATTATTTTACTATAAATACATAAATATATATTAAATTTATTATTATTTTTTTCTTAATTTATAATGCTATAAATTTATAATGCAGAAACGAGAAGATGAGACAAAAGGAGTATTAGTTACTCTAATATATTGTATGGTATTAATATGTAATACATTTTCTGTCAAATTTTTAAATATCACATTTATCTTTTGTGTTATTGTACTAATATTTTATATTTGTATTATTTATTTTTTATTTTTTTACAAATGTCCTTCTATTAATATTATAAGACACTGGTGGAAATATCATGTTTTTATATAATAATTAATATGCAAAAATCAATATGCAAAAAGTAAATGAAATCCTTAGAGTCGGACGAATGTAGTATACGTCGGAACCGAAAGTGATTTATGATGGTGCGAACTAATACTCCATCCGTCCCAATATAATAGACTTGTTTACCATTTTTGTCTGTACCAAAACAATAGTCTCATTTTCATAAATAATCATATTACCATAAAACTATTCCTATTTTTTCATTATTATTACATAATTGTCACTACTTTTTATACTAATATACTCACAAGAGCAAAAAAGTCATTTATCCTTATTTTTTACCGTCTACTCATATAATATCAATATTTTTTAAATACCGTATCCAATTCAATAAGACTATACTTTTGGGACGGAAGGAATATAATATACTACTAATATTTTTACTATATTAACATATAATTTTGTATTAAAATCAAATATAACATATATTGTCTGTGATTCTGTTTAGTAGTGAAAACAATAAATCAAATAATTTTTTTATTTAGTTTTCTACTTTTTTTTTTAAATATTATACTCAATTTTTTATTTCATTATTCAATTGCCACTTTATCTTAAAAATAGCAATATATATAAATACACAGGTAATCAAAGCCGTTTATTTTAAATGATATGGAAATCAGGAAGTTGTGGTTATAATATTTAGAGCCATTTATTTAATTTCATATAATATAATATACTAATTAATATGCTTATCCAGAAGCATAGAGAGATTTGGTTCATATATTATATATTGTGACTTGTGCCAGCTCAAATCTTTGCCAACTTTATGTCCACGTATACATAATCAAATCCCCCGACGCCTCAAGTCACCTGCCACACATGATTCGTCTAATGTGATTTTTTTGTCGGGCCTACCTGCCTCACATGGTTCGCCTAGTTTCATGTCGGGCCTAGTTTGTAAGGTATTAAGTTCGGCCGAAGGTTTACCCAATGCGAACTTTCGAATAGCGGCTGTAAATTTCCACGTTATTAAAAAAAAAAAAGTTCTGAACTAATATAATATACTGTTAATATTTTTAAAAATATAATTTTGTATTAACATCAAATATTAATCTATGTTGTGTGTGATTCTACTTTAGCTTAGTTCGATAAAAAAAAAAAAAAAAAAGAAGAGTGTCTGATTATCTTTTAATATTAATGATTTTTTTAAAAAATATTATTTAAAAAGTATAATAATAATAACTAATAAAACATCAAAATATGTTTACAATTTTTCATAATATTTCACAATTTTACTTTTTTTAAAAAAAAAAACTTTAAAATATACTACCAAATTACACAATTTGGATTTGATTTGAATTTTTTTTTTTTTTAATTTTATTATGAGATAAAAAAATATATTTAAATAGTAAATTTTGAAAAGAAATTATAAAAAAACACATCCTTAGAGACTCAGTTTATATAGGAATTTTTTAAAAAATTGAAAATAAAAAAATAATATATTGTGAGAATAAATAAAAATATTTGATATGATATATATATATTTAAAAAAAAAACATCATTCTCAAATATTTTTAAGTATAAAATTTAAAAGAATAGTGAGTATATATAAAATGTTGGATAATTTTTATTTTTATTCTTTTTAAACATTTAATTTAAATTTATAAAATAGTGTTATTTGTGTAATGACAATAATAATATGAGATAATAAAATTATTTATGGTAATAATATTGATGATTACTCTTTTATTCGTAATTATTTTTGAATTTGTATTTAAATAAATTTTAATATGATATTTTAGGAGAAGAAAATGTATTTTATTAAAAATTATGTATTGATTTTCAATTTGATATAAAAGAATAAATATCAAAAATTTCAAATGTTTGTATGTAAATAGAACCAAAATTTTATATACTATCTTTGTGCTAGCTAATTTGTCAATTTATATTACTACGGAGTTTTAGGTATTATGTAATTAGTGACTAATTAAAAAGTGTAAAAAAATATAAATTATGATTTAATAAAAATAATTTTAGATTAATATTAAAATAATTAAATAACTTAATTAAAATTAAAAAATTATAAATGTGTATAATTACATTTTTAAAAAAAAGATAAATTATGTAAAATAGAAATAAAAATAATGGACAAAAAATGAAAAAAGTAATATTTTATTCGTGTCACGTATTATTTTCCTATCGCTTATGTATTATGGTATTTAATATATATATATATTTTTTTAAAAAATATATTTACAATTTGATTATGTTGAAATTAGTATTGATTTTTTGTTCTGAAAATTTTTATTTATATATAATGACAAAAAGTTTCAAAATATGTAAAAAAAAATAATAAAATAAAAAAACATATTACAAAGTCCTCAATGCAATTTACTAAAATGAATCACATTATCCGAACATCGACGTGCAAATCTCGACGGCGGCGGTGCTCCGACGACTACAAATCGTCGAGTCTCGGAGTCGGCATCGAATACGATCTCTTACAATACATAATAGCGCCTTCAATCCCATCCCTCACCTCCGCCAGCGTGTCGTCGCTGCGGCGGCGGCTTCCGGACAGCGGCGCCGCCGCCGCCGCCGTGCCGAGGGCGGAAGCCGACCGGCTTTTGCCCAAGTGCTTCAGCACCACTTTCAGCCCTGACGGCAGATTATTGCTACACCTATGAATCGCCGCCGCCGCGCACGGAGGAGGAGACGCCGCGCCGCCGCCGCCGACGGCCGGAGAGCCGCCGCATTTCATTCTTTCAATTGACTGCAAATTAGGCTTCAGCAATTTCAAATACTTGAGCAACACTTCCTTCGGTACCCATTTCTCACCCGGATCCGGGTCCGAATTGGATAACCCATCTTCTCCGATCGGATCTCCGGCGAAATCCAGGCCGTCGATGTCGCCGGTACAGTGTTTGTCAGGTTGAGTTTGTGGGGATTTGTAATTATCAGTGAGTGCGAGGGAGAATTCGAGGTCGATGTACGGGCCATCGTCGCCGGCGCCGGAGATTGAATTGGGCGGGTCTCCGGCGAAGAGGATGTGGCAGTACTTGAGCATAGTGAAGGCTTCCATTGTTGGTAGAGCCAGTCTTGTAAATTAAAGATAATAATTTTAAAAAATAATAATAATATGAGTTATGAACAAAACAGTGCATAATGAGGTTTTTATACCATCACTTGGTTCATATTTTCGAATATTTTAATAAACTAATAATATTAAAATAATAATAAATGGGTGTTGATGATGTTCCCCTTCCCTTGGAAAGCTTCACCACAAATCCATTACCTAACGAGGGGACATTAATAGTATGATTCTGATTTAAAAAATGAAGTATTAATTTAAAATTTTGTTAAAATATTATTTTGATATAATATATTTCTATTAAAAATATGTTCAAATTTGAAATCACACAAAAAATTTAGAGCTGCCTTGGAGTTTTATAATAGATTTTAAATATAAATATGTAAAAAATTTTGATATATTTTTTTTTTAATGTTTGTAATTTAGGTAATTAGTATATGATTACTTTGAAATGACATAGATAAAAATAATAATAAAAAAATATTTTGAATTAGAACGAAGAAAACATCATATATTTTTATTCATATTATTAACATATTTATTTTATATATTATATATATTTTAAAAATAATGACAAAAGACCAAATTTTATTGTATAAATAAATATATTTAATGTGATATTTTTTAAAAATAAATAAATTAGTAAAATTGATTGTGAAACAGAACCTTATTGTTTATGAACCACCCACTTTCATAGTTTTATTGGCAATGGATCGGACTAGATTTTCTTGGGCTTGTCCACATTAGCTTGCATGTCCTATTTGTTTTATTTTCATATGTTAACTGAAGCTATTCAAAGTATCAGCACACCGTAACCATTCCCCGTAAATTATATAATGCAAAAAACACATTAGAAATAGAAAGCTTCAATGAACATCTTGAAAGAATGATGAAATTATGATAAATCAAAGATGATATATATATATATAATATAGATAGAGATAGTCGTACAACATGAAATAATTCTCAATCCACAACAAGATTCAAGATCCTCCATGTGAAGTGAGTGAAGTGTTTCAGTCTAAAACCAAAAGTTCATTGCCAAAAACAGATATGCATCAACCATGGGATATAAAACAACAGCAAATTTTTAGTGAGTTTCATAAGATTTATTTAAACCTTACTTATTCAGAAGAGCATCATCCGAAAACCCGACGAATCCAATCTCAACGGTAGAGGCTTTCAGACCGAAGATTCTCCGCGATTTCAGTTTCCCACCTGTCGCCGTTCTCCAGCAGCTTCTCCTTGTCGTAGAGAAGTTCCTGTCGTAACGCCATTTAAATTTAATTTAAAAATCATGTTTTACTTTTTGAGTTCGAGAAGCTATGACAAGAAACAAGATCCATCAAACCTCGTGGGTCTCGGTAGCAAACTCAAAGTTAGGACCTTCAACAATGGCGTCAACAGGGCACGCTTCTTGGCAAAATCCACAGTAGATGCATTTCGTCATGTCGATATCATACCTTCCCAATCAAGAAAGGTCCATTATTACTACACACACGATCAAGGAGTAAAAAGAAATGAGATTTGTAAGAGCACTAGACAATGTGACTTTTACCTTGTTGTTCGTCTGCTCCCATCTTCTCGTTCCTCAGCTTCAATGGTGATTGCTTGAGCAGGGCAAACCTGTGATACAAGAAATAAAAAGCCAAGACTCACACGTCACGGCTCCACGGCATGATAAATTCAAGAATCGAACAAAAGATGGTTAGTTCATTAGTGTTCTAAGCATCATTTGGGCACTGTTCAATATGTAATAGGATTTTTTATTTTTTTTTCCACCTATGAATCATTTTCAATGACTACATTCTAAACTCCAAAAAATTCGAATCCAAAATACAAGTAGAACCATTAGTTTTGTATCTATAATTTGGCAACGGATGTAAGGTTGTTTTGCCAGTGACTTACAGCTTCACAGAGTTTGCAAGCAATGCAGCGCTCCTCTCCAGTGGGATACCGTCGAAGAGCATGTTCTCCACGAAATCGAGGGCTCAGAGGGCCTTTCTCAAATGGATAGTTAATCTGCAAATAAACATCTTCCGATTATGTTATGGCATGTTTCCTTGTAAGCAAATTAGCAGCAAGATAAAACGGCGAGCTAGTCTGGTCATCTTTTAAAGCAATTCTACTAAACTTAAACATTGGGAAGGCACAAGTAAATAAATGTGACGAAAAGAATTAAGAAAAAGAACATACAGTAACTTTCTTGTCGAAGAAGTATTTGAGGGTCAGCATGAGCCCTCGAACCATTTCAGTGAGAAATAATGTATTTATGCTCTGCTCAAAAACTACAGGAAATTAAGCAAAAAAACAAAGATATTAAGATTAAATATTGATGAATTATAGCAAGGTGCAAGATGCAATGAACAAGAAACACATCTGTGAACATCTTTTACCAGAATTCCAGTCCTTCGATACCTCCTTTGCAAGCTGTTCCCTCTCTTCATCATCTGTATCAGTAGCAGGTATGCGAAGATAGTTATCATACCTTACAACTTTTGGTCATGTAACACAGATGCTTGTAAAACGAAGCTCGAAATTGGTATAATAATATAAGTCGTGTGTTCAACTAAGATACACATAGTTGATACTTGATGATATCCTTGAAGAACCTCTACACAGAATCAATGCCATAATTATAACTCGATCCTATCTTAGACTTAGAATTAAGGTCGTGCGCATGTGTGGGCATATAAACATATAAATGCAACTCTATGAGGACTTGAAAGCAAATATCCCTTTTACCAAATTCTGTGCAAACAAAGTCTCAATGGTTTAATAGTTGGTTGCCGTGCTTCCTCGAATGATCTAGAGTCCAAAAATGGTTCAACACTTTGATACTCCCTCTGTCTGCCAAAACTATGCAATTTTCTTTTGGTTATTCGTTTAACTTATACATAATCCATTTATAGTAAAAAAATATATTCATCCATAATTTTATTATCTTTATTTTAACAAATAATAACCAATTTATAACATTTTTTTCTACTTACCCCATTAACTTTTATAACTCTTTAATGAATTTCCCATAATACCCATATTTTACTTTTTACCTATGGTACTTTTATATTAAAATACTATTATTTTTTAGTTTCCGTGTCCAAACAAAGTAGCATAATCATCTCAGACCGAGTATAACATAAGAGACCAGGAACTTAACCAGGACACTTCACTACTCCATCACCAGGATCATGAAAGATTTGATACACCTAAATAATAATCCAATACAAGAAGAAATTTATCTGAGGTACATACCAAAGTTGTTTTGTGAAACACAAAATAAGTCGATCGTAAAATAATTACATATGAAAAAAAAAAAAAAGACACAACATGAAAGAATAGCATATGTATAAACACTTGGACCATGAAATATTTTGATATGAATCATATCCAATACTAAATTGCTTTTGCTGAGCAACATAAATACAAAAATCAAAATCTGGTGAAAGATGTTGCAAACCTTTGTCCGTAGAGAACGACTGTTTCGTAGCAAATGATCGTTCACTGCATACTGCCCCGAGACGGCTATTTCCCTGCAAGACTTGCCCAGACAAAGCCTACAATTCCCCAACAAAGACATTACCCACATGTCTATGAACACAAGTTATTTGAAGAGCACTAATTCCTACTACAGCAAAACAGCAACAAATGTGTTAATCCATTCAAACAAGTCCTCAATGCTATTTTTGAAATTCAAACACCCAAAATGACCTAATTTACTGAAATTATCCCCAATTATTCCTCAGTAAACCAAAACCCTAGATAATTAACAAAATGAATAACGGAATACAACATACATCAATCACTCCAACCTTGCACAATAACAAATATCAAGATGCAAATAATCAATATGGTTACCCTGAACCCTATTTACCGAATTCATAAATCAGAAACGAAAATCACAACAAAAATACCAGCAATAACTAACAAAATAAACACGAATTTGACTAGAATCCTTACCAGATGACGAGCACGAAAAGCGGCGAGGGATTTGCGAGCAAAGATTGACGCCATATCGCCGTATTCAGATGCCGGAAAAATTCTCACTCTTTCAAGCTGTTATATACGAAGGAAGATCGAAGAAATTGAACTGAAATCTGATTGGCTGTTACCGTAGTTCCGTCACAGCCGGTTAATTTTAAAATATCATATTAAAAACAATTTTCAAATAAAAATATATTGGGCCACTTTCACTAATATTGGGCTTAATTAAATTTAAGGCCCATTTTTCGTGAAATCCTGGACGTCGAAAACGGGACCCAAGCAATTCAACGGTCCAGATTTGATCTTTGAAATAGCTAAAAAGAAACACTTGGAAGAATCTGATTGAGCTCCATTGCAGTTGAACATTGAAGAGCACTTTCTTCGCACACTCTCTACACCGAATCTCTTCGTGTATTGATAGGTCTGGAAGCTGTTATCCATGGAGGATTATCAGAAGGAGGAGCCTTTGGTGGATAAGATTGAGGAGAAGTCGTCGGAAGACGAGAAGGAATATTCAGTTAACAGCAAGGTGTACCGCCTCTTCGGAAGGGAGAAGCCTGTTCATAGTATTCTCGGCGGTGGAAAGCGTACGTTGATACTGAAAGTTGAGGTTTAAACTTGAATAAATGTTGCGTAGTGATTGTGGCTTTTGATTTAAATTGAATCGAATCTGCTTTTTTATCTTTTCAGATAATTTTGATGTCTTGAGGTTCCGATTGCTTTTGCTGTTTGCTGAATTATTAGCATTCGTATTAGTTGTTTTCTGGTGATTTTAGCTTTGGAGCTATCGAATCTGTTGAATTGCTTGAGAAGATCCATTTCTTCTCGTTTGAATTGCTTTGTTGTTGGCTTGTTGCTCACGCGATTAAGAAGTTCTAATGAAGTGATGAGATTCTGTAGCTTTTGCTTTTGCTGTGGAATGATTTTTGGTTAACTAAGTTTGGATCTACATGCTTTTGATCTTGGTGAATAAATTTTTGGATTTCTACAATCTCTACAGAATCAACGTTTCTGTTTTCAGAAATTTTTTCTAGACATGTATTTCAATCTAATTTAGATCTTCGCTGCGAACAGCTGCCGATGTTTTTATGTGGAAGAACAAGAAGGTGTCGGCAGGAGTGCTCGCAGGGGCTACGGCTGTATGGATTTTGTTCGATGTCCTTGAATACCATCTGCTCACATTGGTCTGCCATAGCTTGATCCTCAGCTTGGCGATTTTGTTTCTATGGTCGAGTGCTACGACGTTCATCAACAAGTGAGCTGTGTTCATCTCAAAGTGATTTCAAATCTCATCTTATCCGTTGTTAACTTACATTGTATCGATTATTATGTTTCTCTTTCTGCTAGATCTCCCCCACGCATCCCGGAAGTTGTTATTCCGGAAGACTGTGTGGTGAAATCCGCAGCTGCTTTGAGGAATGAAATCAACCACGGATTCGTAATTCTTAGGGACATTGCATTAGAAAAGGATGCAAAGAAGTTCCTCGCGGTATGTTAGTTTTCTTCGACGGCGCTATGTGATTTCTTGTAGGTGATATTTATGTTTATATGCGCAGGTTGTCGCGGGATTGTGGGTGTTATCCATCTTGGGGACTTGGCTCGACTTCTTGACGCTTCTATACACGAGTAATGTTCCAAACTCACGACGATCTTTTCAACTACTACGAATTCATGTTTAGAATCTTGACACATACGACGCTCTATTTGAACAGTCGCCGTGTTGCTATTCACCGTGCCTCTATTCTACGACAAGTATCAGGACAAAGTCGACTCTTTTGCCGAGAAGGCAATTACGGAGCTAAAGAAACAATACGCTGTCATAGACGCCAAAGTATTGAGCAAAATCCCGCGCGGACCTCTCAAAGATAAAAAGCATGAATAGCTCGATGATTAAGATTATCGCCGTCTACTAGGATAAATCAATCGATGTTTTTCTAAGAACTTAGCTCTATCTTCTACTACTTATGCGATTGTACAAAACACGTTCTAACCCGAAACACTTTCACTTCTTCGTTTATAGTAAAACCTTATGTTCTTCGCATAATTTTGAAAGTGCAACAAAATGGCCCTAAAGAAACTTCACAAACTATGCACGTATGATGAATATTTCGAAACTCGCTTATGTGTAAATACGCCGATAACAAGAATATAAACACGAACAAGAAATTACTTGTTATGAAACATATCAATTTTCAAAGGTTCGATTGCGTTGCATACCATTCGTGATTCTATTTTCGTCGTCTCGTTGTCGCCATGTCCGGATTTCCTTTCCTCATCATTGCGACAAACTCCTCGTAATTTATCTTCCCATCCTACCATTTTCACGGCAACACGAAATGCTCATTATTATAGCTTATAAATAGATTTCAAAACCTTCCATTTACGATTGAAAGTATACTCGGATCGATTCTTCAAACACTTCATCGAAACACGATTTAAGGAGATTTGTTCTTATGAAAGAAATTCTTACATTGTCGGTGTCAACTTCCGCGAGGATTTCCTTGATCGTGTTAGCATCGCCCATGTTGTATTCTTTGAGGGCGTGCTCGAGTTCTTCCATGGTGATGTACCTAAAAGATCGAAATCCAAAGCATAAGAGCAAAGCGTAGGATGCCCAAAACGATAATACAACTAAAAACACGTGAGAAAACTCGAGTTCGACCCGCTCTTATCCTTGTCGAAATATTCAAAAGCTTTGTACAAATGGTCTTCCCGCTCCACACGGTTCATGTGCATCGTAGCTGTTATGAATTCGATATAGTCGATCGTCCCGTTCCCGTCCACGTCCGCCTGCAAATAACATAACACCAAAATATATAACACAATTTCCGTACTATTCAATCTACCGAGCCTTTTCATTCAAAACATCATATCTAATACCCATTTCTAAACTTTGGAAATTCAAGAATCGAATAAAATTTTCCATTTCCGACAAGTTTATTACTTTATCAAAACAAAATCGAACAAATCAACCCTCAAAAAAGGTCGAAAATTTGTTAGCCTTGTCCCTGTATCATTACAAACTTCATATGGTTTAAACTTGAAACTTCTTCTTTACAATTTCGAACTCAATTCACAATGGCACCATATTCAAAGCTAATTAAATCATCGGACTAAATTTCATCGAAAAATCTCAAACATCAATTTTGCAAATAAATATCAAATTTTTGTTACGGCTCTATAAATCACACATTAAGTTAGGTCGATGGATTAGCTGAAACATAAATCGAGCATTGCCCAAGAAACAGTTAAAGTTAGAGGCGTTACCGCTTCCATGAGCTGTCTAACTTCGGATTCAGACAGCTTCGTGCCGAGCTTGGGCAGGCCAGCCTTTAACTCTTCAAATGTAATCGTTCCGCTGTTGTCTGTATCCATTGATTTGAACATCTCCTTCAAGCCTATGATTTCTTCTTCGGAGAGATTCTCCGCAATCACCTATCGAATCATAAGCATCAATTTCTCAAAAAAATCCGCATGCGCAAAAATATAGGCGATGTTTTCTTATACTTTTAAATTTCATTTCTATACTATTCATCATAAAATTCTCTCTAAATAACATCAGACTTAACACCTATTTTCATTTAACACATTAAATTAAGAAATATATATTCTTTATTTAATTTCTTACTATTCCAAAACACCAAAATACTTTCAAAATATATCTAAATACTCTCGTAATTTAATCCAGTAAGCGACACATGATATCAGTTTACTAGTTAAGTTAAAGATGTATGGAAATAATCTCGTATCTCGACTATTAGCTCTAATGGTCTTTTACTTGTGCACAACACTTAAAAAGTGATAGACAAATTTCCAAACATAATCCACATAGTGTGTTTGTTCGGGGATTTTCCCGAAAAATCAAATATTTATTTTTTATATTATACTAAAAATCAATTTTACATTCAAAACATTACATCAGCACCTATTTATATCACATCGTACGACTATTCAAATTCAAAATTTTTACCATTCAAATCATAACTTAAAATCCAAACTCCCAAACAAACACACCCTATAAAGGACTTGAAAATAATAAACGATACTACTTACACGACCAAAATTATATTTCTCCCTATATATGTATATGTTACCCAAAATTATTATAGAAAATAGAATGGATATGAAGATTCTCATTTCGAACCTTAAGAGCAACTTTCTTTAGTTTGTTCATCGCACGGAACTGCTTCATTCTACTCAAGACCGCAATATCCAGAGGCTTATCGGATGCATCCCCGTCTTCTCTCATCCACGGATGGTCTGAATTATCACAACCATTTCCCATTCGTACAAAAAACCCAAACTAAAAACCATAATGCCATGAACGTAAAAGAAACCCATACTAAAAACCATAATGCCATGAACGGACATCCTTCGACACAATCAAAAACTTACTCAGCACTTCGGCTGCAGTGAGCCGGTCCTTAGGGTCAGCTTGAAGCATCTTTTTCACCAGATCCTTGGCGCTGCCCGAAATCGATGGCCAAGGGTCCGATACAAAATCGAGATGCCCCCGCAAAATAGCATCGAATATCCCCTGCTCATTCTCTGGACATTCAAAGATAGTTAGAACACTGTCCAAATCGAGCAGTGACCACAAAGACAACATCGAATACTTACCGCCCCAAAAAGGGGGAACGCCACTGAGCAAAATGTAAAGTATGACTCCGGCGCTCCAAATATCAGCCTCGGCGCTGTAACTCCGGCGAAGAACTTCGGGAGCAACATAGTACGCGCTGCCAACGAGGTCCTTAAATACCTCTCCTGCAATGAAATCGAAATATAACCAACATATTCATGTCAAATAATGTAGCTGTTGATACAATTTCCAGGATAATACTTTTGCATTTGAGCTCAGTTTATTACTACAAAATTTCACGAACAGGGTGTGGTCGATTAACAACTTTTGTTCATTTTTTACACCAATCAAGAGCTTTGTTCTTGATATTATTTTTTCCACATGTTTTTCCAAAAAAAATTTAATAAACTAAGCATCTTCATTATTTTTATATTCTCTGTACAATTCTTTATGTCTCACATAAAAAAACTCCCTCCGTCCACACAATAAGTATACATTTATTTTTGGCGCGAAGTTTAAGAAATAATAGTATTTTAATTATAGTGGATACATAAAAGTAATATAATGATATTTTTGCCCTTACTTTTGGATATAAAAGTAATGATGTGATGTAAAGCAAGGGTATTTGTGAAAAAAAAATGGAGTATTTAATGAAATATTTACTTTGTAATTGGACGTCCCAGAATAGAAATATGTATCGAGTATTTTATTTCCATCAATTTCACAAAACAGTTTGCTACTAATTTAATTTGCTACTAAAACAATATATAAAAGTTAAGTGAGATATTTTAATTGATCAATTTGCTACTAATTTTCTTAATACTTCACTTAATTGTAAATATATAAAACAAAAAATAAATGTAAAAGTTACTACAATACATAGTATCAAAACTTCTGAAACTATGACCTAAAGTTCAACTAACTTTATCAACAAAAGGGACTAAATCAGTAAGTCCTAGCTTTCATTTTATAAACAAATCTGTGTTTGTTTTGTGATTTTAACTAAGTTATATAAATATATACGAGGAAGGGTAATATTAAAAAAAAAAAATTGTATTGAATTATATACTATATTATATAAGTGTATTTATATATTTTATTTTTCTATAATATTAATCAAGAACATCTCTTGAAATTTTTTTTGTCACGTAAAAGTGTGTGTTGTTTAACTGCGATTTTTTTATGGCAATTCAATTCTTATCACCAAACGTCATAAATGAATATTTAATTCAATTAAATGAGGAAACCCTAATTGCGGAAAAAAATTGGGGGAAAACCCGTACCCGGTTTGAAGAAAACGGATAGTCCGAAATCCGTAGCCTTGAGCGGCGAGTTGTCGTCGGCGCTCAACAGCAGAAAATTCTCCGGCTTCAAATCGCGGTGCATAACCCCCATGGAATGGCAGGCGTGCACCACCGTAACGATCTGCCGGAAAATCGCCGCCGCCGCGCGCTCCGAGTAGTGCCCCTTCGTTATGATGCGGTCGAAGAGCTCGCCGCCGGCGCAAAGCTCCATAACCAGATGGACGTTGTGGCGGTCCTCGAACACCTCCTTCAGCTCCACGATATTCCGGTGGCCGGTCAGGTGGTGCATAATCTGAACCTCGCGGCGGACGTCGGCGACGTCGTCGGGATTCAGGAGCTTCCTCGTGGCGATTGACTTGCACGCGAAGCTCTGGCGCGTCTCGCGGTGAGTCACCAGATGCGTCACGCCGAACTGCCCCCGGCCGAGCTCCCGACCGAAAATGTACGCCGCGTGCACGTCGGACATCGGCCGGCCGAGGATCCGACCGGCGCCGGTGAGAACAGGCCGCCGAGGCGGAGGCGGCGCCGCCGCCGGGAGTACGGTTATCTTCCCATCCTTCCGGCCGTTTTGGTTCGGCGCAGACGACGAGGACTGGAAATCATTTCCGCCTCCGCCGCTTCCGCCGCTGCAGTTACCCATCGGAAAATCGATTGGATTCGACGCTACGGTGGTGCGACTTCGGAGTCAAAAAAGTTTGAGGCGACCACAGAGGGAAGAAGGTTTTACTTGTAGTTGTCTGTCTATGTGAAATGACTATATTGCCCCTCGGATAATGTTAGCATTTTTACGCTACGCGTTAGTAAATAAGGTAAAAAAGAAAAACATAGGAGAATTATCCCAGCAATATATTTAAAATATTTTCCATTATTTTTTCATAGGTTTCAAAAGATATTTATTATTAATATTGCATCTAATTAGTAGAAAATATATTATTTAAATAAAATAATAATATGCGTTTGCCGGGAGTCGAACCCGGGTCTATTGCTTGGAAGGCAATTATCCTAACCGTTGGACTACAAACGCCATTTGTGTAATTAATTTATTTAAATTTATATATAATATATAAATAAATAAATACTGCGCAAGAAAAACAGGGCTAAGTCAGTTAGAATTATTTTTTTTTCCAATAATATCAAATCAAATATGTATTTTTAATTTATTATATTACTCTAAAATTTAATTTATATTCAAAATATTATATTAATATTTTTTTTAGTGTTTTTATCGTATTTAATAATTATTTTAATTTAAAATTTTCTTATTTAAAACTAAAATCCGACAAATAAACGCACTCTAAGCATTGGTTTGAATAATTTTTGCTTGGTTTATAATTGGTTAAGTATGGTGTATGAAGTTGAATGGTTATATCACATTCCATAATAATATGATTTTGAATCATTGACATAAATAAATTATGGTTTTTATTTTTTAAATATCATTTCCTTATTTATTATATAATGCATAAAAATATATTAAAACTACTATTTTTAAAAATCAAAATAAAATAAAATAAAACCAAAGTCTAGAATAACACACATCACACATGGTATGTGTTCTTTTTTAAGAAAAATGTATTTTATGTCTGCTATGTTTACCCTAATACTTGGGTGTGTTCTTTCACTGAATTTTATAATTTTTCCAAAAATACATTTTTTTCAAAATAATTAATATATTAAATACAGTTATTATTTTTATAATCATTTACATAAAATTTTATACTTTACATTAAAAATATATATATATTCAAACAATTTCATTGATCAAATAAACCTTTATATTTAATAAGACAAATGCAATATTTATTTATACATTGGAAAGAACATGTGATGATTGACCAATATGAGAAAAGTTTGTTACTACCTCCATCCCGTAATAAAGTATTTATTTTTTGATTTTAGTCTGTCCCATAAGTATTATTTTTTTAGTAACTGTACTATCTACCTAACATTACAAATATCCTTACAACTTACAATATATTACACAAATATTATTGCATTTATATCACACATACTAACAAGGTTATTTTAGTTATTTCTACTTTATTTTTATTATATCTCAATATAATACTAATATTTCTAAAATTACGTGCAAAAAGCAAATTGATATTTCGTTTTGGGAGGGAGGGAGTATTTGAATTGATTTTAATGTCTATTTCACTAATTTATTCATTCCATTGCTAGTTGTTAATAATACTTGTATTGTTGTTTTTTTTTAAAAATAATTTAAATAACTATATAATCTAATTGTTTAAATAAAATAAACGTTTTCCAATATTAAAAGGTAGATGTCCAATAGTACAATAGTTTTAAATGAATAAATATATTATTAGTATAGATGAAGTGTTTAGATTTGTATTTTAAATAATAATCTAATATTATGTTTTTATCATTTTAAATTTAAATAAGAGTATCATTTTACTATTACATAGTTAATTATAAGATAAAATTTACATGTAGCATTTTTATATATTTAAACTAAAACACTAAATTCAACCATATTATGTAATATCTATATCTGCATCTATGCATATACTCTTCCTACTCTTCATCCGTCGTCTCATCTTCCTCAAGCCCCGCCGGCAAATCCGCCGGCGGCCGGCTCCGGTACTGCTGCACGATCAGCACCGACGCCGTCGTCTTAAACTCCGGCGAAATCAACAAATTCCCCATCGGTCCGATCTCCGGGCATTCGATTTTCTTGTCGAGAGCTGTCAAAAGCTCAATCTTCGGCATCCTCCCGACGATAAACAAGTTGCACCGATCGTAGCCGCGTATCGCCTCGACCATCTCCGCCGTATCCCTGACCACGACCTCGTCGTACTTGATCGATCCGTCGTCGGCGATTCTCCGCTTAAACTCGGTTAAAACCTCCTCGTCTTCATCCCGAGTATCCTCGCCGTCCTCGATGTCTAGCCGAGAAAAATTCCCGACGACGACGAAACGGGCGACGTTTAGACGAATCCCGGTGTGCTCGGCCATGAGGGCGCCGTAGGCGAGCGCCTCGCGGTCGTCGGGTCCCCCGATGAAAACCACCGTCACCGTATAGTCAACATCGCGCGCGGAAACATGGAACGTTCCTCCGAGCCCCCGGTCGACTAGAATCCCGACGGAGCACGGCGCGTGCTCGAGGACCTTTTTGTTGACGTACCGTAAATCGCCCCTCGTCGTTTCCAAGTGCCCGTCGAACGGCCGCGGGTGCTTGTGAAACGGGAGGATTATCAACGCGGCCCTCTTTCGATCGGCGCTGGCGCAGATGTCCTCGTGCATGCTCGACATCGACGAGATCGCGGTCGTCGGCCGGATTGAGACCCGGCTGAGTCGCCCGAAGGCTTCGAACGCGACGACAATCTGATTCGTGTCAGAATTCTTCCCGTCCTTGCTCCAAAACGGCAAACCGTTCCTCCGCGCCTTGTGGACCATCAATATCGCCGACGATCTCTCCGAGAGCTCCATCAAATGCATCGCATAGACGCGGAGGCCGCCCCGTTTTCCGGTGCCGCGCGACGCCTCCATGAGATTGATCAGCGTTGGGACATTTGCCGTGCTGTGGAAACACGTCAGCATCCGGAGCTGAGTGTCCGATTCTTTCCGTCGGATCGTCCGGTGTTTGTACTCGTGTTTCGCCGTCCGAGCCGGCTTGTACACCACCACAACCACCGGCGTCGTTATAAACGTCGTGAATAGCGCCATCAAGACCATTATCGCAAACGTTTGATCGTTCAAAACCTATGGGACGAGTCATAAAAACGAATATGAAACCGACACTTTATCCCAATCACAAATCGAAACTTTTCGAGCATTTTTGTTACCCCGCGATCTTTCCCGATGTTAAGAACGATGAGCTCGACCAAGCCTTTCGTGTTCATCAAGAACCCGAGCGCGATCGCCTCCTTGAAAGAGACCCTGCAGCAAATCGAAACCAAAACCGTGCCGACGATCTTACCGAAACACGCGGTGAATATAACCAGACCGAGAAGCCCCCAAGATCGAGCCCCTTCGATCGTCGCAACATTCGTCTTCAAACCACTCGACACAAAGTATAACGGGAGAAACAACCCCGAGACGAGATCCTCCACCTTTTCGACGAGGGCGTCGGCGAACGCACCGTCTTTCGGGACGAGGACCCCGAGCACGAAAGCACCGAAAAGCGCATGGATCCCGATCGTATCGGTGACGAACCCGGCAGCCAAGATCGCCGCCAACGTGGCGCACACGTACATCTCGTCGACGGGCTCTCCCCGAGGGCAATGTCGCGCAATCCATTTAAAAATCGGGGGGCAAACGACGATGCACAACCCGATGAAACCGAAACCCGACAAAAACACCCAGAGCGACACAACCGGCGATCGTCCCGTCCCCGAAAGCGCGATTGCGAGAGCGAGTAGAATCCAGGCGGCGACGTCGTTCACCGCAGCAGCCGACATGGCGACTTGTCCGACATCCGTCGTCAGGAGCTTAAGTTCGGCTAGAATACGCGCCAAGACAGGGAAGGCAGTGATCGAGAGCGCCACACCCATGAACACGAGAAACGGGCCCTGATCGACGCCCTTCGAAATCGTCGATCGGAGCACGACTGACGTCCCGACTCCTAACGCAAACGGGAGACTGATCCCGCCGAGTGCAATGCTGAGAGCCCTTTTCCCCGTTCGCCTTAGAGCCTTTGGATCGAGCTCGAGGCCGACTAGAAATAAGAAAAATAAAAGACCGAGGTTTGCGAGCGTGTCGAGAACCGTCAGGCTTCGAGCAGGGAAAACGGCGTCGAGATACTTCTTGTTGCGCCCTAAGGCTGATGGACCGAGCAAAACTCCTCCCTACACAACAAAAAAAATAACCGAATTTTTTGTTGCTATCAATATTCGACGGCCACACAATCTGAACAATTTCTTCGAATCCACCTCAAATAAGATATAAAACCATTTTCTATTTCAAAATCGAAATACTAGCATTTTGTTCGAAGATCAATTCCTATACGAATAGCAATTTTGACTATTCAAATAAGATATACAACAATATCCAACTTCAAAATTGAAATAACATTTCAATCAAAGATCCTTTCTTATTTGAATAACAATTTCGACTATTCAAATAAGATAGTTTGTTTACCTGTCAAATTTATTCTTGTTCCGTTTTATTCAGCTGTCAATTAAATTTAGCTATTGCGAATTTTGACAAAGACAAAAAAATAAAAAATAAAAAATCAAACATTTAACTATTATTTTTTATTCAATCATTTTCAATTTGAAATCAAAACAACATTTCAATCGAAGATCGATTCCTATTTGCATAGCAATTCCGACTATTCAAATAAGATATAAAACCATTTTCAAATTCGAAATGAAAATAGCATTTCAATCAAAATCCATCCGTATTCAAACAACTATTCAAATAAGATATAAAACTATCTTCAAATACAAATTCAAAGTAGCTTTTCAATGGAAGATGAATCCCTGTTCGAATAACAATTTCGAAGACTCTGTTTAAACAAATACTTTCGGAACTTTTGGCACTCTTTTCAAACATCTCTTTAAATATATATTTTACAAAACATCACGTCAATTATTATTTTTTACTATTTTAATTCTTTTTCAAAACTTTAAAACTCTTTAACCGGAATATTTATAAAATGATTTATCATTTTCAACTTCATCAAAACAACATTTCAATCAAACATTGATTTTCGAACATCAATTTCAACTATTCAAATAAGATATAAAAATCATTTTCAACTTCGAAATCAAAACAACATTTCAATCAAAGATTGATTCCTATTCCAAAAGCAATTTCAACCATTCAAATAAGATATAAAACAATCTTCAAATTCAAAATCAAAATAACATTCCAATAAAAAAAATCGATCCCTATTCGAACGACAATTTCAACTATTCAAATAGGATATAAAACCATTTTCAACTTCTTCAAAATCAAAACATTTCAATCAAAATTCGATACCCATTCGAACAACAATTTCAACTATTCAAATAAGATATAAAAACCATTTTCAACTTCAAAATCAAAACAACATTTCAACCAAAATTCGATGCCCATTCGAACAACAATTTCAACTATTCAAATAAGATATAACAACCATCTTCAACTTCTAAATCAGAGCAGCATTTCAATCGAAAATCAGTTCCTATTCAAATAGCAATTTCAACTATTCAAATAAGATATCAAAAACCATTTTCAACTACAAAATCGAAACAACATTTCAATCAACAATCGATTCCTATTCAAATTCAAATAACGATTCCAACTACTTCAAATTCAAACTAATCCTCAAACTACACACAGATTAAGAACAAGGATAATAAAAAACCTTACAATAATCTCAGCAATGACGCGAGGTTGTCTCAACGGCCTCAAAAGATAAGCAAGAAGACGAGTAAGAACCACAACAAGACATATCTGCACGATCAAAAGAGGAAGTGCATAATGCAACGGATTATCCCCTTGAAAAACGCCGTTCGACGCCGCCTTCATCGGCGGCGCGTCGCATCCGCCGGTGGAATTAACCGCCATTTTAGTCTTCGAGAAATTAAACCTAATCGAAGAAGCAAACACAACAACAACAACATCAAATTAGAAACAAAAAACGACGAAATTCTTCGAAAAACCATAAACAAAAAACTTCAATTCGAAACAGTAATAGTGCGCCATTATTACCACCGCGATGATTTTGAAGAAAACCCTTTTATAGATTTGGAAATTTTAGAAATAGCAAAGAAGCCCCTGGATAATCGTGAAATTCAAATTCGGGACAGTTCCCCTGTGTGTATATATATATTGTATGTATGTATAATGGCAGCCATGGGAGGTGGTTTTTGCGAGGTTTAAAGAAGATGGAAATGGGAAACGGCACCGCCAAGCTTAGGTATTTATAGACATCCCATTAAGGAAAAAGATTGAATTTTTCTTTAAAAAAATATTTAATAAATTAATGGGAAAGAAAGGTGAGAAAGCAACGGCCATATCCCAAGAAGATCGATTATTTATTGATGAGGCACACGTGAGGTGACAGGGGAGAAAGGAAAGGAAAGAAGAAACAACAAAAAGGAAAATTAAAGTGGAGATGATGAGTATGATTGTTAGATTGTTGATTATTAGTATTCACAGGAATCATCATCATCGATGATACAGACTTTACTTCACTCGTGATTCTATTTATTTTTCTCAGTATTTAATAAATAAATATATATATATATATATAAATATTAAGGACTCCTCGTTAATTTATAAAATATTTTGGCCTTGTTCTTCATATATATATATATATATATATTAATATTTTTTTCAAAAATATTATTTTACACATATTCATTATTTTTATATTTTTTTACGCTATCTCATATAAAGAAAAAATCCTAAATCTTTCTCCAAACTAGATAAGACTTTATTCGAAATTGAATTTTGGTGAAAAAGAAATCCAGAAAGGACCAAGTTTTAAATAAAATTTGTTAGAGTTGGACAAATTGTTTGTGATCGATCATATATGAATTGGTTTCGCTTAGCACCGACCTAATTAAAGACAATCAATTGTCATTAATCAGCAAGTGGAAATCATATCTATTAATAACCATTTTTTTTTTTTATGTTCATATTGGATAAAAAAATTATGGATTAAATGTAATTATCTGAATTATCAATTATATTAAGTCTATATGTATTTTATAAGTGCGGGCCTCGGTGCAAACTCGATAACTTATTAATTGGCCCCAATTAATAATAGAGATATAACTTAGGGTTTTGTTCCAGATTTATACACAAGATTCATTAATTTTCATATCTCGTAGTAAAGTTTTTCACTAGGGATTACGTCATAGGTTTGAAGAATACAAAATCCTCTATTATTTTGCAGATCTAAATCCGACAATATTAATAGAATCAGATTAAATTTATTTGTTTTATTTTCTTATCTCAATTGTTTCAATTGAATTTAACTGACTCGCAACCAAAATATTTTGTGAGCCAATGAGATGTAATTTAAGCGGGTAAGCACTCATTGAGATGTTTGAAAATAAGGCTTCAATCCCCGAGCGATTCTACCGTCTTTGCTCTTGAAAATGATTCGGAAGTACAACAAAACACCAATTGTATTTCATTCCATAAGAAACTGGCTTCCTTGACTCGACTAATTCCTTGTAGTCTAGTGTAACTAGTCTTGTCGGGTCTAGTTTGCAGGGTATTAAATTCGACTGGGGATTTATCCAGGGCGCACTTTTGGTAGCGATTGCGGATTACCACGTCAAAAGTCCTGTAAATGATGGCGTGGTGGTGTCGAGGTGAACTTGTGACTGTAAAGTGATTGGTTCAAACTCCCGACGCCTCAAGGTCTATAAGATCTAGAAGGGTCAGGGGTACGAAGCATGACTGCTCTCCTCTTGTTTTCTAGCACATTCTCTATGGGTTTGATTTTGTTTGAAAACATCTATTAAATCAATTTTCTCAAAATTTGATTACAATAACACAAGTAGGGATGAGTATTGGTCGATTCAAACTGAAAAAAATCGATTTTTTTTTGTTCGGACATATCGATTTGATCTATTCAGTTAATTAGTTCGGTTCGGTCTAAAATTGAATTTATAAATTTCGATTTTCGTTCGATTATAGTTTTTAATTTTCAAATCAAAAAAATCGAATTTTAAATAAAATAAAAATTTATATTATATATATATTATAATTTAAATTTTAAGTATTTGTGTTTCAATAGTTGAATCATTTGCAAACTGTTGAGAAAATGCAATTGAGGATTGATGAATCTTCAGTGGTGATGAAGAATGAATCGAACAGATAAGTTCAAACATCATCACAACTTTTTTTTTTAAAAAAAAAAAAAAAAAAAAAAGACCAGATTTGTTAGTTAGGTTTTGATTTAGTTTGATTTTACAAATTTTGATTTTAATTTTTACAAACCAAAAAACCAAATAAAATTCAAAATTCTGAATGATCAACCCTAAACATAATAGTTCTTTTATGTAAATATATCAAATTAGAGCAATCTTATGTAAAAACAAATAAATAACACATATGAGACCACTAGTGTGACTAGTACACTCGACAAATAGCCCCGACGGATTCTCACTTTATAAAATAAATAAATAACACATTTTAATAAATACAGAAAAGAAAAAAAAAATCGGAAACGATAATCCACCGCCATAAATAGAAATAAATTTTTTACTACTCGCAAATATATTCAAATTATAAAAAAATTATAAATGGCGGGTGGGTGCGAATTTGTTATCTCAAAATAATAATTTTGGTCAAATTGGAACAAGGCACGAATTTCTATCATACTGAAATTTTGACAAGAACATCCCATACCTTATATAATTTGACTCCTATAGAATATTGGGTTTGTTTACCTATATTATTAAAAAATATATATTAATATAATTTATCATATATTTTTTTAAAAAATTAATAATTCTGTACAAAATACTTTTTATATTAATAAAACAATTTCTCATATTTAATATAAAAAATGCATTTATAAAAAAAAAAAAAAAAGGACTTAAATTGAACAAATTCAAAAAAAATTTAACTTGGAGAGGTCTTGCTGAAAAATAACTCGACGCCATTACACCTCTCATTCTTTAAAGATAACTCTGATGGCATTACCGCCTCTCATTCACGAATAAAATGAAAAATCAAAAGGTTGTCTTATTTAGTACTTGGCCATTATCAATTTAGTACTCTGAATGAATCATGTATTGAAATTGTCTCGTACCTAAATATTTTTTCGCAGAAATAATCCTCCGTCACTAGAATTGACAAGTCGTCGGTGATGTAGCTAACCGGTGCTAATTTGGCGCTTAAGTGTCTGATCTGACAGCGCCACATTAGGATCACTCCATCGAGAAGACAAACGAAGCTATTCCTTCCTCCGGCTCCCCTTCGATTATAGCAAATGTTTTTTCGTCTAAATCAATCTCGACCGTGCATGTGCATAAAGTGTAATGCAATGGACCTGAAATGCCCGACAAATAACCAGCACAAAAAAGTGTTCAAGTCGAATCACAAACTCCTTCAAGAATCTCGGGTTTATTTTAGATATAGAGAATTGTATAGGTAATATAAAAATAATAAGTGTATAGTATATTAAATTTTTTTAGAGAAATATGTTGAAACATTTTGAGTAAAAGAACAAAGTTCCTCAATTCGACCTACCTTCCATATAAATAGGATATTTGGCGTCGACCTTGTCTCCAACGCCGCATCTCTTTTTTGCCTACTCAATGAATTCTTGTCCGGATCCTACAAAAAGGTAACATAATTCAGCCCTTAATGAACTCTTTTACGTACATTGTTCGAAGCCTATCCGCGCAAAACCTGCCTGACGAATGTTTAAGTGAAGATACATATTGGCGTGGAAGAATGGCACTTCTCCTACTTCATAAACCGAGTGGCGATTTCTTGATGCTGTTTCGACATTCAAGATTCTCCGGGAGTTTATGTCAATCAGATTGTAACTATGTTGGACAGAAATTTTAGCTGAATAAATCCTCTGAAGCAAAACAGAGTTTAGCTTATTAGAATAAAGAAATTAAAATCTTGCAGACGGATAATCAATTTTTTCATTTTTCAAGAAACTCAGAATCCATGGAGACTTACTTCTAAGGCGTCATCGATGCTATGTGCTTCTAGCAAGTCCCTCGAGACAAAGTTCCTGCCTACACCCCCGGCTACAATCTCACACTTTGCCGGTGGGACCGAATTCAGAGTAAATGCCTTCAGCAATAGTAAAACATACAAGATCCTAATTTTGTTCGAATTGTCGAAAGGAGAACTGAGTGTAGCACAAATTCAGGTAGATGTTGAAGATCGGGACAATCTCAATCTCCTAAGAAGGGAAGAAGCCTTTTTCATATTCTAGACAAACATTTTGTACGATTATCTTGTTGATAGATTTTAGATATTTAATTTTAAATTTGTTAGATTTAGATTTAGATTATTTAGATTTGAGTCTATCGAATTTGTTTTATGTTACCTTTAGGCTTCTTAGATCATTCCCTAGAGAAAAATAAGCTCTGAAACCATGTTAAAATTAATTTGCGAAAACTCTACAAAATTGAGTTATTGATCGTCAAAATAAAAAGGTCTATATGTATAGGTAACATAAAACAGACTCGGACATATTCAAATCTAAATAATCTAATAGATATGATCAAATCTAAAATTAATATCTAAAATATATCAACATATCTAAAAAATTACGATGGTATTTCTAGAAGATGACTAATAGCGATCAGATAAAATCATTAACCACCGCTGATTAGGCTACTCGTGCTCATCCTCTAAGCATATTTTGTATGTAATTCAACATATAAGCGCGATCAACAAATGTATACTATGAATTAACGTTTTTCTTGCGTGGTTCTAAGCAAATTACGCCATAATTTGCAAATTTGTTCAATGTAGCATTGAACATACAATTCGACGTATTTACAAACTTTTACACTATAATTCAACAACTTTACACCATAATTAAATAGCTCAACACCGCGTCGATGTTTTATACAGTTCAATGTGGTTCGTCACATTTCTTACCTATCAACAACACAATTTTCAAATAAATTCAACACCAAACAACAAAAATCAGAGCCACAATTCCAACATAAATCCCAGCATTGCCCTTCTTTGGTGTTCTTTTCAAGTGTTACGACGGATTAGGATTAATGATCGAATAACGAAAAAAAAAAAATGTAAAGAAACACAAATTTAAGTCTTCACCAACAACATGGTGGCTATGTCCGCGAGCAGAAACGGCAACGTTACATATTATATTACAGATTTTGTATCCCTAAGTCTATTTAAAATTCCACGAAATGACAAACTAAATTCAAGGCATATCAGCGTCTAAGATTTAGGAGTTATAAGGAATATCAGTAAGAAATGAAATACCAATCCATGGCTGTTGAACCCAAAGGCACAGGTGGGGAGCTCTCCTGCATATGTGTAAGCAGTGAAGGATGATCCATTCGACAAAATTTGCTTTAATCAGAAAACTACATCCCCAAATTGAAGAATCACAGGAAATCAATAGAACTGTATTATCATCCATCGTTTCGAAAAGAAAAACTTAAAAAAACTCACGTATCTCCTTCCTGAAATTGAGCAGCATTACCTGCGAAACCCTAGAAATCTCAATCAGACGCAATTTTTTTACAATTACCGGTAATTAGGCGACGGATTCTCTGCTCATTACTTCGAGAAATGGAGAATCTCCCCTCAGCCATTCCTCGGAGCTCGTCCCAGTATTTTGGGTACTTCTTCGTGTTGGATTCGGAAAGGGATTTGAGAAGTGATTGCGACAGTGGTGATTAGCGAAGGGGAGAAGCTGGTTCTGCAGAATCAGGTCTTTGGCGAGCCTGCTCTTGATCAATTGGGAGAATCCCTGGCCTATTATAAACCCTATTTGGTAGTTATCTTCACAGGGTCCGAATTCGAACATTTCCACCATTTTCATGGAGCTTCGGTCTGCTCGAGGGGAAAGCTCCCGCCTTTGCCCGCCTTATCTTCTAAGGTGTGTTTGTCGGGGTTTTTGGATTTTGAGTTGGGATTTGAATAGTAAAAATTTTAAATTTGAATAATTGTATGATGTGATATAAATAGGTGTTGATGTAATGTTTTGAATGTAAAATTGATTTTTAGTATAATATAAAAAATAAAAAATAGGTATTTGATTTTATATTTTTGAAAGAAAAAAATTTGATAAATAATGTAAATTCAATCCCTAAATTGTTCTAACTGAAAAGTAAGAGTGTTAATTTTATTTTATTATTATTATTTTTGGAAATGTGTTTGTTCATAGATTAATTTTTTTATTGTTATTTTGATAGTAAAAATTTTGAATTAATATAATTATAATATAAATATATATTAATATAATATTTTGAATGTAAAATAAATTTTTAATATAACATAATAATATTTTTAAAATTCTTTTCATAAATAATAAAATTTTGATAAAAAGAGTACATGCAAATAAACTTACATCAAACTAAATAGACTAAAAATATGAAAACATAAATAAAAAAATAAATATGGAAACATATCTTATTAAAAAATAATTAAAATATACATACATAAAAAAATAAAAAAATAGAGTATATAACTTAACAAAAAAAATACCAAAAAGAAAATAGTGATCTAGCAACAAACAAATGAAAATGAATAATAAGAATTTTACTCCTTTCGTCACATATTTATATATGTATTTGCTTTTTATACGTAGTTTTAAAAATATTAATATTATATTGGGATAAAGTAGAAATAAAAATAAAATGACTAAATTAACCCTATTAGTTTTGTATGATATAAAGGTAATGACATTTGTGTAATATATTATAAATTAGAAGGGTATTTATAATGTTAAGTAGACAGTACAATTAATAAAAAAGAAAATAGATACTTTGTATGAGACGGACCAAAATGAAAATATGGATAAATTGTCAAAGGAACGGAGGGATTATTATAGTTTATACAATTTTGAATAATAATATTATACAGTACTATATAATTTTTAATAGTTTTTATTCTTAATTTGAAAATAAATAAAAATTGCTATTATTCGTGTTTTTGCGTCATGTTCAATTTTTATGTAAAGTATAAAAAATCATATAAAAAAATATAAAAATAATGAAAATTTGTAGTGTATTATTTTTTTGAAAAAAATATGTAGGAGAAAAATATAGAAAGAACAAACCCTTCTTATATCCAAACTCAACATATCTCTTTTACTATTTTCATTTTTCAACTAAAAATTACTTCTTTCCAATTATAATAAAATAATCATATCAAAATACTCATAATTTTTACAAAAATATATATTTCTTCTGTATTTTTTTAAAATAAAAATGTCAAAATTATATTACAAACTTTCATTTGATTAATAATACTACTCCCTCTTTCCTCCGCTATTTCTTTCATTAACTTTTTGCATGTTAATATTTAAATATTAATTATTATATTAAAATATAGTACAAGTTAAAGAAAAATGACAAAAATATTTCTATTAATGTCTTATTATACTAATATAATGGTATTTGTACAAAAAAAAATTACAAATATAAAAATATTTTTAATGTTAAAAACAATGACGACAAATACAAATGAGAAGACTAGTGGTGGACAGAGGTAATACTCCATTCGTCCCGTAAGAAGAGTTCCATTTTTTACTTCTGTCTATTTCAAAATAAGGGTACCATATTTCATTTTTTTTTAGTAATTATACTGTCTACCTAACATAATAAATACTCTTACAATTTACAGTATACTACACAATGCTATTACTTTTACACTACAAAAAAGAAATGGGGATATTATTGTCTTTTTCACTACAAACAATATAATATTAATATTAAAAAATATACGAACAAAAAAGTAAATGTTATTCATGTTATGAAAAAGAGGTAATATTCCCCATGTCTCGTAACAAAGTATCTATATTTTCATTTTAGTCAGTCTCATAACAAATTATTTATTTTTTTAGTAACTGTACTATCTACCTAACATTACAAATACCTTTACAACTTACAATATATTACACAAATATCATTACCTTTATATCACACATACTAATAAGATTATTTTAGTCATTTATACTTTATTCTTACTACATCCAAATATAATACTAATATTTCTAAAATTACGTGCAAAAAGCAAATGAATATTTAGTTATAGGACGAAAAGAGTATTATTTTTTTAATATACTATAAAATGAGTAATAGATATCGCTTAAGGGAGCTCCCTTCAGTCCAAGAACGGGAAGAACGAGGATCAATTCGGCTCCCTCATCATTCACTCAGCTACCGAGCAAGAAATCATCGTCGGAAATATACTCTACTCGGAATTTGAATGAATGATTCGGCAGCAAATTGAATCCCTTATTACCACCCATGGCTGGACTGAAGAAAGCTCCCGTTTCGAAAACTTAGCTCGTTAATCATAATAATATAAAAAAACTATAGTATAAATTAAGAAAAAAATTTACAAAAATACTTCCATTAATGTCTTATAATACTTATAGAAAGATATTTGTATATAAAAAATATATATATACAAATATAAGGATATTTTTAATATTAAATACAATGACACAAAAAATAAATGAGACTCTTAGAAGCGGACTGATGGAATATATATATATATATATTTTCTTGACAACGTGAGAACCCGCAGTTGATACCTGATGAGTGCGCTCTGAGTAAACTCTTTGCCGAAATATATATGTATTTATTTTGTATATGTTAGTTAGATCTCATACACACACAAACCAATGTGGATGTGTGTGTGTGAAAGAAAGGAGGGAAATAGATAAGGAGGAATGAAAGGGAAATTTGTGTATGGGTATGGATATAGTGAGTGGAAGCTGCCTTATATATAGCTAACAATTGTATATATGTGTGAGAGAGAGATATTTTAAATATATATATATATATAATATATAATATGAGTGTGTGTTGTATGTTTTTTCTTTAATGGTTTGTTTGGTTTTGATTTAAGTTTGAGCTTTTGATTTTAGATTTTATATATATATTTTTTTATTTTTTTTCAAAATTATTAGATCAAATAATTAGTTTTATTTATTGCTCTCTTGTCTCAATACAATAATCTTATTTACCATTTTTGTTCGTCTCAAAACAATAGTCTCATTTTTATAAATAATCATATCACAAAAAGTAAACTACATTTACTTTTTTATTATTATTACACAATTGTCACTAATTTTTACACTAATACACTCACAATGACAAAAAAGTCTTTTACCCGTACTTTTTATCCACTACCAATATAATATCAATATTCCTTAAATTCCGTGTCAAATACAACTCATTCTATAATTCTGGGACGGAGGGAGTATATTATACTAAAATTTAATTTTATATTCGAAATATAATATCAATAATATTTATATCATATTAAATAACTATTTTCTTTCGAAATTTTACCATCTAAAACTCAAAATCAAAATCAAAACTCTACAGACAAACATACAAAATTTTTAAAATAAGTGTTCTTATATTTTTAGAAAAATCACTGTAGTTATATATATATCTTTGAAAATTTTGGTATTATTGATTGATTATATATATATATTTAAAAAATATATGTATTTTTTTTTGTAAATATTACATTAAATATAATTTTTTGTTATTACAAAATTTATTTTAGAAAAATCGAATTTAAAAAAAAAAAAACTATCTGCACAAAATTATAATTAGTGAATATGATATTTTTTTATTATAAAATAATGCAATAATATAGTAAAAGATTGAAAAAAAACATCAAATAAAGTTTTAAAATATTTGTAATAGATATCTTTTTATCAATTTATAAAATATTTTAAATAAGAAACTATAAATATAACTATTTAAATTATATAATATTATTATATATTAAGAAATATTAATATTTGATTTGTAATAGAAAATATATAAAATAAAATAAAATAAAAAAACATATTGATAATATTAGTTAAAATATAAAAGTAATTTAAATAAGATTACATTTATTAAATTGAATACTGAATATATCTATTATGAACAATCTAATCTAATAAATATATTATGTTTGTTTTTAATTTGAAATTTTTTTATTGTAATGGACCAAAAAAAAAAAAAAAAAAAAAGTTGTATCCATAATATAAAAAATAATATTAAATTAAATATTGATTTTTTTATAAAAATATAAAATTTATTATATACTATTTCCGTCGAATTTAAAAGTAAATATCCATTTTTAATGGGAAATTTAGAAAATAATAGTATTTTAGTTATAATTAATAATTAAAAATAGTATAAAAATAAATTTGGTTCTTTTTTTATAAAAATGTTAATATAATGATAAAATAGAGGCATTTGTATTAAAAAAAAATTGAAATTTTTTTGAAAAAAATATTTTATAATTAGATAATTAAAATAACAAAAAAAATATATATTACATGAGTTGATAAAAATAAAATAAAAAAAAAATTATTATATACTATAATTAATGGGAGGAAAAAGAAAAAGTAATTTAGATAAATAAAGCATTATTATTATAAATGTTGAAAAAAGTTGTAGAAGTACTGTAGAAAGTACTGCTTAAAGAAGATATTCATATTCTTTCTTTGTCGTGTGCTGACACGTGTTAGAATTTACAAGTGTATTTTGTGGTTAGGGATTCAAATTACTAATATATATATATATATATATATTTGTATATGTAGGTTTTGTGATTTTAATTTGAAATTAAATTTTTTATTTGATTTTATGCTTTTCGAGTAAATATATTTTTTTTTATGAAATTTAATAAATATTACTTCTT